TGACGCGCCTCTTTCACAGGTCAGCATAACGTTCTGGTCGTTTTTCTTGAGTAAACCTTCAATTTCTATGGATGAAAAGGCATTTTGTGGCTGCATATGGCTTAGATATAACGTGAAGTCGGTTTAGAATAGACACTCACCATTAAACTGGTGGGTGGCATGGCGGTGAGGAGTGTCGGTGGTGGTTTTTCAACTTCCTCCGGCATTCCCCGACTTCCCTTTTCTGTAAGCGCCGTAGCCACTTCTTGTAGAGAATCTCACGTCATCCATGGTGCGCAAATAAATTGGTCGCGCCCTCTATATTTACTGTGATGAGAATGGCATGCAATAGTGCTACATGTAATGACTGATTTACACCCTCTGGACCCTCTACTGTGTTCTTCTCAGGTCTGACTAGGTTTAGATTCATTTATGTGTATGATTCCACACAACGTTGAGCGAATGGGTGTTTTGTAAATAAATATATATAGTTGCGGCTCCACTAATATCCTGAATACATCTATAGAAAAATTAGTCGACATATAAACTGTACTCAACAATTCTTGAGGGCCTTTATTTTACTTCTTCAACCATAAATTTTTTTAATAGCATAGTCACTTATAATATTCGGTAGATAAACCCCTTACATTGCTGTTGTGCCAAGGCCTTCAATTCTCCCACCAGAGGTTTTTCGCACCCCTCTGCGGAATGGACGGGGATTCCCTTCGAAATAAAATCTCCTATATAATTATCTCAATCAAAGTATGTCCCATACTGTGTATGGCACCTCGGAAGGTAGTGAGCCTGAGATTGTTTGTCATATTGATCACATTACATGACGAGTTTAATTCTCACAGATCGAGAAAGTGTTAGAATATGTGAATATTCCATTAGTATTTGTCTCATATCTCATCTTGTGACTGCCATTGATTAGCTGATATCCGGTGATGTCCAGATTAGTATATTTAGTTAGTGTTTCCATAGTTCAGTAAACCTTATTAGTAGGTCTCTTGCTAATAAGGTTTACACATGAACCAGTGCACAGACCATGTATCTAGTATATATATTACAACCATGTTGCAACCGTGTCACAACCTGATGGTCCCCGAGGATACTATTGTCTGCCAACATTTCAAGTTATTGGCCAAGTCATCATATCAGCAACTGTCAGTACACCGACACTGATGTATACCTTCATGGTGATCAAACCCCATTTACGCCCCTGTCAAGTTATACTCATACTATCTGGTTATGCTTTGATACAATATGTCCCCTTTTATTATGATGATCTGTTCTACTCTATGTTTCACATATGCCCATATATATTTGTAGCTCTTGGACTATTCCCTTTTCTTGTAATTCTGCTCTCAGATAATCATGGCTGCCAATCTTATCATAACCTTCTGGTTCCTAGTCAAGTTTATTTGTCACTAATTGGACATTCCTGCTCTTACCTTAGTTAGTATTTCGAGATGCCAATAACTAGTATTTAAGTCCAGTTGTAATGTAGCTACAAGGCAATCAGAATATCAACTCAAAACACTTGTATACATCTCTCATAGTCTCACTCTAAATATCCCACTCTCTGCCTCTGCTTGCACTTGCTCACCCTCAGTCTCTGACCCTTTGATCCAACCCTCAACTTATCCTTTGGCTTCCGATTGGTGACTTACCAAGAGGATTATTTGACAGAACTAGTTTTCCACCTGCCCAAAATTTACGGACACCTGATGGTAACTTGTGAGGGTGCAGCATATAAGCTGAAGCCAAGTCCTTCCATTTGGTCCCCATTGGTCTACTGACATCAGTCAGTTTTCTGTTCTTAACAATATAGTTACATCTAGTTGGGGAGTAGAAACCCCAACTAGAAGCCTAGTTATATCATTGGTTTACTTCTACACTGCTCTACTCTTAGTAGTTATGCTCCTGATTAGAGGCTCCTTGTAGTGTGATCCCCCAGGCTTCAGTTTATTTCATCAGAAAGAACTGGCAAATGAGAAGGGTGGATATGCTGCAGTTGACATTAAGAAGTTAGGCAAAGGGTGTGTGATACATAAATACTCTTACTGCATAAGTAGATAGGTTATAGATTGTTCCTACAATTCTTTAAAACCACTTTGTGGGCTAATTATGCCAATGGTGTGGAATAATGTGGTGAAAAATATGAGCCCATCCAATGCAATTGTAAAAGTGCTTGTTATCGTGACTATAATGATCATGTCAACTCAAGGTCTCCAGGCATATGCAGTCGACCTCTGTACCCCTGTTTAATGAAGTTAATACACAGTCATGTGGTTCTGGCTGAGTGAAATGCACAGTAGTTCCATGTACATTAGTGGGTGTAATAAACACCAGACACTTTTACCCAGAAACCCCCACCTGCAAGAACTGCAAGTAGTGGTTTGGAAATCATGTTGACTACTTCTGACCTCAACAATTTAATTCTTTATTTGTCTTGCTCTTAGGACTTAATACTATCAATAGTCAAAGTCCCAATTGTGAGTCTCATCATCTCAACTACTTCTGACTTCATCATCCTGATCTTTTCATTCATCTTGCTCTTGGGACTTCATGCTATCACTTCTAGAAGTCCTCAATCTCAAACCTCATTCTCTCATTTTGACCTTTAGTTTATCTTGCTCATTGGACTTCACATTATCAACACTCAAAGTCCCCACTCCCAAGTCACACTTCCCTACTGAACCATACCTCAATTGTTGACTCTACTTTAACTAAATATATGACTACTAATACTCTGTACTTACTATTGACTGAACCTACTCAATTCTAATTGTCATTGTCGGGATTGAATCCTTAAGGTCAATCCTGTACTATTGAGTGATTGCCTTTATTAGTTATCCTCATTACTTGTACTTCTTGACATCACTGACACTAAAAGGGGTGTTGGAAAACTAGTGTCAGGTGTCCAGAAAGTGAGATGGCCCAATGCTCAATCAATCAACAGAGTGTAGTCGGCAAACCAGTCATGTCGAAGGATGATCACACAACTTGAATCCAATAAGGTTACATACAGAGTAATGTTGACATGAAACAAATTTTCTTGACAGTTCTCAAACAGTAGTCAAAGAGTTTTCTCTAATGTCAAGAATTGAATGCCTCATTCAACAAAGTATTGATTCATCTTGATGATAAATTATGAGGCAATATTAGGACATGAAGGCTCATGAATAGATACAATGGCTTGGAAATTGTTCCAATATTTTGTTGTTTTGGAAAGATTGATTCACAATACAAATACTAGAGATCAGAGATTGAATGTGTTTAAATGTTTTTAAACATGTTTAAAACACTGTTACAGCTTCTGAACTTAACTACACAAGGAATTGTAATATTTGAAAACTTCAACCATTAGTATCATTATCTTGAAGGGGCTGGTAATCTTATTGATGTGGTTACAGGCCACAAAAATTTGGAATACTTTTCAACCACTAAACTCCTTACCCATTGGCAAGCCTGATGGTCTGAGTATTTATCTTCTTTTAACATGGTAATTCATTTCTGGCCTAGTTGCCTTGGAGGAAAAACCAATGCTGTAACTAGACAGTGGGACATCTACCCTAAAGAGGGGAGTAGTGACCATGCCACAGCTAACACAGATAATATGAAACCCATTTTCACTAATGTACAACTCACCACATCCATCAGAGCTACTTATGTACCTCATTCATTCATGAATGTGTACCATCATCATTATGAACATAGAAAAACTGCATCAAGACATTCTATTGCTGTCCCACCAGACCCTGTCACCAAGATGCATTGACAACCCCTGGAGAACCTCAGTGGTCCTGAAACCCACAAGGTTTTATCAGATTTAATAACTACATTTATGGATTGCACTCTGTGACAGATCTCAAGGAACTACATCAGGAACCTCAGAAAGCCATAGCCTCTCCTCAAGAATGATACCAATGCTCTACAGACAAACATTGGAACCTCCACCTAATTCAAGATTGGTGACTCACACAAGCCAGCTCCCTTTCATGGACCCTGCAACTCCCAGACAATATACAGGCTATACACCTTGTACATATTTCATGTATCCATGCTGGAATACTGTGTAACCACCACTATCCCAGAACATGTACAACCTCCACCACCTCCGGTCATCATAGATGGAGAATCCAAGTTTGAAATTTCACAGATTTTAGACTCAAAAATTGACAACTGTTGTCATACATCTAATTGCTCTACTTGGTAAAGTGGGCAGGCTATGAAGGTACTGACAAAGAGACATCTTGGATCTTGGCTTCAGAACTGGGACATGCCTTGGAAATTGTGCTTAACTTTGCCTGGCTCTCCTCTCTTTCTCTAGCAATGGGAGATGCAGCTTTATCCATAGCTTCCAACAGAGAATGGTCTTGTGACAACACTGCTCCATACTTGCTATCTCTTATTTTTTCTTGACCTGTTTCTTTCTCACACTTCTATTTATCTAGAAAAGGTTTTTTCATTATGATTTGCCTCTATGCTAAGGTTTCCTCCACAGTTTTTGTTGAAGCAGCTGAAGATATAGCTAAAGATCACCTAGAACATTGTGAGGGATGAGAAGAAAGCAAGCTCTAAGGTTGCTTTCTCACAGCACCATAGACATGATGATACACTGGGAATCTGCATAGTTGCCGAACTAATTAATTCATGAACTTCTGCATCTACAGTGCTGGGAAAAATACTACAAATATTAGAGAAATATAGAGAGTAACATAGAACATCATAAAGCTGTAATATCATGCTCTAGCAATTTTCTCTGCCATCTTCTGCTTCCCCCCCGAACAAACTCCTCTTAGAGGCTTTCTAACTCCTCTGCCTCCACCTCACCCTTGGTTTCTCTTGACCCCAACCTTTCCAACTTGAACTGTTCTGACTCAGACCCCAATTCTCTATTATTTTTCTAATCAGGATACTCCTTGTATATCCTCATCTGCATTAGTTCAAAAGATCTATGTACAGTCATGGGTACATAGACTCTTATGGGTGTTGTTAAAAGTGTAGAAAATGAATGACCAGACTGGGAATTGAACCCAGGGCTTCTGCATATATAGCAAGGGTGTTACCACTACACCACCTGACCATGGGAAACACTGCTAGGATTACTCAATCTAACAGGTGCACATGTACTATACTCTTGTGTACACTAGTACTGTAGGTGTAGGAAGAACTCAGACACTTTTACCCAGAAACCACAACTTGCTAGACTGTTAAGAACTGAAAACTGACTAATGTCAGTAGGCCAATGGGGACCGATTGGAAGGACTTGGCTTCAGCTTATGTGCTGTGCCCTCACAAGTACAGTGAGGGACAAAACCCTTCCAATGATTTTTAGTTGTGCAAAGATCCTTGAATAACTCAAGAACCACTGTAGATACAGACCTGAAATTTGGGGGTTGGTTAGGTCTATATGTTATCTATATGCCCTTAAAATATTATGATATAAGCATTAGTATTTCCCACACTATAAACAAAACACTAATAAAATCACATTGGAAGGGTTTTGTCCCTGGTATAAAAAGAACACAAATCAAACAATCTAGTACTTGGTATACTCTCTTTGCCTTCAAAACAGCCTCAACCCTTCTAGGAATACTCTCTATCAAGTTCTGACAAGTGGAGGCAGGGATATTCTCCCACTCTGTCTGAACCCTCTCCCACAACTCATGAATACTCTTGGGTGCGACTTCATACTCTCCCAACCTCCTTTTGAGGTAATACCAGAGGTGTTCAATTGGATTAAGGTCAGCAGACTGAGGTGGCAATACCATGACCATAAATCCATTGTCTTTGAGCCAATTAATGGCCTTTGTGCTCTTGTGTTTGGTATCATTGTCCTGCTAAAAGACCACATCTTCTGTGTTCTTGCTATAATACTCCACAGTTGCTTGAAGTTCATCTTCCAAAATGCTACCATAAAGGTCAGCATCCATTCTCCCATTAATCTTGGTGGAATATCCTGGGCCTTCCCAGAACATACAGCTCCACAACATCAGATTTCCTCCCCCAAACCTCACTGTGTCCTTGACCAGCCTCCCATTGAGCCCCTCTCCTGCCCTTTTCCACATCTAATTCCTCCCATATGACCCCAAACAATTGATTTTTGTCTCATCTGACCAAACAACCCTCTTTCAATCATCCACAGTCCAGTCCTTGTGTGCCAGAGTAAAGTCCATCCTTGCCTTCCTATACCTCTTATTGAGTAAAGGCCTTTTTCTCTTCACCATAGCCCTCATTTCAGCCTTCTTGAATGCCCTATGAACAGTTCTAACTGAAATAGACTCTCCAGTCATATCTTGAATGGTTTGGTGACCTCAGTGGCATTTTCAGCCTTTTGAGAAGTGATTTGTTAAATAGAATAATGAATATCTGAGAAGGAAAGCTTGCATAAACAGCCACCAGATGAGTTGGCAAGTGATGAGCAATGGGTAGAATGAATTCTGGATATAGTGGACAGATCCTGGCCAGTGATTTCAGAGATCTGAGGAGCAGACTTGCCCTTATTGAGAAAAGTGAGAATATGGCTAAGCTGAGGAGGAGTAAGAGCCTTCATAGTGTAGAATGTTGAGCTATGGGGATGTTTTTGGATTGGAAAGTAAACAGATGTATATATATATAATTTTGACAGGTCAGATGATTTTTATTTGCACTTATTTGCATATAAACAATATGGTTATATGTTAATCATGTGACAGGGACAAAACCCTTCCAATGCAGTTTAATTAGTATTTTATTTATAGTGTGGAAAATACTGATGCTTATGTAATAATACTTTAAGGGTAAATAGACAACATATAGACCTAACCACTCCCCAAATCTTAGGTCTGTAGCTACAGATATTCTTGAGTTATTCATGAATCTTTGCACAACTAAAAATCATTGGAAGGGTTTTGTTCCTCACTGTAACCGTCAGGTGTCCTTAAATTTCGGATGGGCAAAGACTAGTCCTAACGAGTTCCTCATGGTGAGTTGCTGTTTGGGACTGAAGGATAAGTTGAGTGTCGGGCCAAGGGGGTTGGGGACTGAGAGTGGGTGAGTGCACGCAAAGGCAGGGAGTGGGATACTTAGTGTAAAGTTGATGGAGATGTAAGTGGGTCTTCTGAGTCGATATTCTGATTGCCTAGTAACTACAACTATAGCAGGTTCATATACAAGTTATCGCATCTAGAAAAATACTAACTAAGGGAAGAGTGGAACATTATTTGACAAATAAACGTGACTAGGAACGGGAAGGTTATGATAAGTTCAGAGGCCATGATTAACTGAGAGCAGGATTACGAGAAAAGGAAATAGTCCAAGGGTTACAAGTATATATGGGCATATGTGAAACATATAGTAGAACAGATCATCATAATAAAAAGGGACATATCAGAGTATATGTAACCAGATAGTATGAGTATATTTTGACAGGGGCGTAAATGGGGTTTGATCACTGTGAAAGCATACATCAGCATCGGGTGACTGATGGTTTCCAATGCGAAGACCTGATCAATAACTTGAAATGTCAATAGGTGGCAATAACCTCGGGGACCGTTGGGTTGCGACATGGTGATAACATAGACATCCTTTGAAGTGTCTACTGCAAGTTGTGATTGGGGTATTGTCTCAGCTGTCCCAAATGGCCATACTCAAACTTGAGTGTCTTACTCTTCACTCTGTACCTTTATAATCGAAGTGCAGACCTCATCACTTGAACCTGCTCATCAACTACTGCACTCCTCACTCATCCTACTTCTTCTGGCAAACAGTCTTTCCCCTTTATTCTATTTTATCTGGTCTATTCAGCTGTGGATCATACTGTTAAGGTCAATCCCACTTTCTCTTATTCTAGTCACCTCTAGCAACTGTACAGCTGCTGCTGATGGTAACTACTACCTCACCCCTATCTGTATCTGTATTGTACTTTGACAGTCAATACTCTTGTATATCAAATGGTTAGAATTTCAATGACTCTTCACACTCCTTGGGAAATTGGCCTTAATGGGAGGGGGGTACTGTTAAGACCCATGTCCAGATTCCACCTGGAACTCAACTCTCTCTTATAGTACTTCCCAGCTACTACCCTAAGTCAAACATCTTTCCCTGCTCTGGAGAAGGCTCCTCTGAAAATACACCCACTTCATAGCTTGAACTTCTTCTTCTGAAAATACAGTTACATTCTGTGCAAATGATGTACAGAGCAGAAACATACCTCCTGGAAACAGGTGGTGGTGCCCTTGTGCCCATTCAAAAGGTCACTTAGTGACCTCTCCAGAAAATGGGTTGGAGCTTCTGGGAAGAATGAGAATGTTGAAGAATTGGCCAGAAATGACAGCATGTCTAAACAATATGAGATGCTTTTGGGCACCATCAAGATCACAGATGAAATGGAAAAGTTGTGGGAAGTGGTAGAATTGAATACCCAGGTGCAAGTTAGATATTCCAGACCTTAGACAATAATTTCCAGACACAGAATGACCTCTTGGAGAAATTAATGGTAAAGCTTTGTCTCCTGGCAAGCAGAACAGGGTGAAAGAGTTCTGGAGGACAATGTTAAGGCTGAGTTCATAGGGGTGCTCCATGGACCTGAGGGTATAGCAAGGATGGATAGGACTTGGCTTCAGCTTATGTACTGTGTCCTTGCATAATTGCCAGTGTCCTAATTTCAGGTGGACAAGGACTTAATTTATTTTCAGACCTGATGACAGGTCCAAGGACAAAGGGGTTTTGAAGTAAAAAAAGAGAAGGCCAATGACTAATGCACATATGTCATTACAGAGAATAAACCAGATTTTAAGTTGATATTTGAATTGAGGTTTAACTACTTTACATTGCAGTATTTATATCAAGAGCAGGCATTATGACAAATCAAGCAGACAAAGGGTGGCCTAAAAATGCAAACAAGGAAATAGACACATGGGTCTAGTCATGAGGTAGGTACAAGATTGGGTAATTGGGGAAAGTCCTAAAGGGAGCAGATAGCCAAGGAAATCAATCAGGGACAAAGGGTTGTCAGAAGAAAGTCCTAAGCTAGAGACAAGGCAAATAATAGCTGAGGGTTCCAATCATCATGGAACACAGGGTCAGAAAGGCAAATAGTATAACATGATAAGTGAGTTCATTTCTGACCTCCAAGCCTTCCAGAGCTCTCGTTTTAGAGTCAAGATTGTTCCCGAAAGAGAAATATGACGACTCCAGGATGTAATCGAAAAATACACCCCAAGACTGACCCGTTCATCGTTTTCAGACTGCTGCTCAAGGCTCGGTGAAGTCATTGTTCTGCTAGGAAGCACAGGTGAACTCGGGTCACAAGTGCTCGTTCCACCGACCCTCAGAGAGGAGTTCTTATGATCGGAAGATTCATTCGTAGACAGAGGCACCAATGTCCCCCTGTTGCAGTCAAATAATATTGTTGGAACGTGATACGCCATGACCAACCACGACTAGTGTTCACGGGTAGTATTATATGCCACTGTAAGGCTGTGGTATCAGCCTCACTCAGTCAGTAACGGACAGGACAGAATTATCATGTTTTGTCGTTCTACTTTTCATACATGTGTTTTTTCTAACTGCTATATAGGAATCTGAACCCTTGATCTAGATCCACCGGGAGAGGTGTACGGAGAAAGCGATCGTGATTGAATCTCATCTCGAGTTGGGCTCGGTCAGGGGAATAGTCGGAATGCGGTTAAGGTTGGCCATGGCGGTTGTGGTTGGCCGTGTCTGTGTGGTAAGCCTGCCAGGATTACAGCCACCCCCCAAAAAAGAGCTGACGTCAAAGCAGTTACCCATCTTCTCCTTTTAACATGGTGTACCATCCCTACTGTTGAAGATGTTATTACAGATTTGAGTATCATCACCCCATCTGAATACAGTGGATCAACACAGGTATCAGAATATGTCCTTTTCACTGCCAGGAAGCAGCCTCGCTCCGTCCAATCATCGGCCACATATGCGACATCATCAATGACAATCGGAATACGAGAGGTGGTTCTGTGTTGGATTTCGAGACCATTCGAGCTCATGTCATTCTCCAATTCTTGTTCTTTTGTCCTTTGTCCCTTTGTCCCCCCGTGTGTCATATATTAGCTTTTGCCACTGTTC